CAGGGGGCAGCCCGCCAGCACCAAAGACTGTGGGTCTCCGGCGTTTCTGTTCAGGGAAGGTTGGTTAAGCAGGGGCTGGGAAAACCTCGGGAGCCCATGGATGCGAGCCGAGCCGTCACAAGGTTACAGTTGCTCTGCTCGACGGGAAACAGTTCGATTGCGTAATGAGAGACCCTCCTCTGGACCAGCAGGAAGTGACTCAGAAAGCAACGTCTATGCCGCGTTAATAACAGGACGCCCAGCCTAGGAAGTGACAAATCTGTTCTTTTTAAACCTTAGTTTAAAATAAAAAAACCACGAACATGCCTCTAACCAGCCGCTTCTCGTGACGGCCAAATGACCGCCGGCCGGCCCCGGACGGTGGGCGGAGGGGCGTCCGCACCCTCTGACCCTCTCCGCGAGCCTCCCCTCACTGCTGTCCCGGGACAGCGAGGGGTGCGCAGCGCAGTGGCCCCCGGGACGAGGCTGCGTGTGGGGCGGTGCCGGCCACGCGGGTAGGTCAGGCCCAGCTGTGTGCGGGCCTTGGGGGTGTCCACAACGGTTTGTGTGCGGCGCGGGCTCCGGGACGCCCAGGTTCCGGCCTCCCGCCGGCACCTGCTGCGGGCCCGCTCCTCTGCCCTCTGCCCTCGGCTTCTCTCTGGGCCTGAACCTCAGCAGCCATGGGCGCGGGGCGGGGGCAGGGCTTGCGGGGGGAGGGGGGCTGGCCCTCAGAGGAGGGGGGCTTCAGGTCTCTCATTAGTGTTCTAACAACGGAGTCTGTCGAAATCGGCGGCTGTCTGGCTTCTGCTCCCACATTTTCTGCCCTTTGCCCTCCCCTCCCAGGGGACCGGGGGAGGGGACTGGGAGAGACGCCGGCCCAGCCCCACTGGGGGGACGCAGGCAGTCACTAGGGTGGGGGGGCCCAGGGGGGCGGTGAAGGCAGCTGAGTCATTTTCATGAGAGTGACACGAGCTGTGGTCAGGGTGGGGGCAGTGACCTGAAAGGGCAGGGCGGACCCCGAGGGAGCCGTGCTGGGCGGGACTGGGACACCCAGGGTGACGCAGGACAAGGGCGGCCCTGCGGCTGGGTCTCGGTGACCAGCAGGGGCCTCGGGAGAGGCAGCAGCATGAGCAGAGGCCCACGGGTGAAGGTCAGCCGTGAGCAGAGGCCCCCGGCATGTACGCAGGGAGACCCCCGGAGCGCGTGCAGGAGGGGGAGCAGGGCTCGGGGACCCCTCGTCAGGGTCCCGTGGGCAGTGGCCGGCGTGGGAGCCCCCTTGGCGTCCAGGCGCAGCCACGTGGTCATGTGTCCTCGTCCCCGCCTCTCCCGAGGGCCCGGCGCCCGTGGGGAGTGCAGAGGGACCTCGGGAACAGCCGGCAGGTCCCTGTGGCATCCAGCGTGCCCCCGAGAAGCCCCGGCCCACCTCGGAGGGAGGGCTCGGTGACTGAGGGCCTGGAGCCCGCCCGCTCCCTTGCTCCAGGGCGGGAAGGGTCTCCCACGGAGCCCCAGCCGGGGCGCGGGGCCCAGGTTCAGCCCTGATGCGGAGCCCCAGCCCTGACACCGTGGGGGCCGAGTCAGCCGCTGACCCTAGCCAGATGGGGGAAATGAGGAGGGTGGCGAGGTGCACCCTCTCCTGGGCCTCTTCTCACGAGACACAGTCGGCAGAGGACGAATAAACGCCTTGGTTTTGGTGCAGCACACGAGGGCCTGCGTGCGCTGCCCAGCGACCCCTCCGCAGTCCGGCTGACCGTTGCCGTCACCACAGGAGGCTACAGTGTTCTTCTCGTCTGGGTGACTTCTCAGGTCCGCTCTCCTCGCACCTTCCGAGAACTCAGGCGGTGGTGTCGGCGACGTGCGTGCCGCCCTGGTCACACTGGAGCCTTCTCACTTCTGCACTCTGCACAGGGCCCGGGTCTGTCACGGAAGACCGTGACCAGGCCCCACCGCCAACCTCCGGCTTCCCGCCGAACGGAGAGGAAGCCGGCGAGCCTGACCCCCGGAGGGCCGAAACTAGGCCGGGTGCGCCGGCCGGGGGCCCAGAACCCCCGGCGCGGCAGTGGCGGCCGGACCGGCGCCGGCCCTGGGGACGGGCGCCCTCCGCCCGGAGCCCCAGCGGCGGCAGACCCCGGGCTCTGAGGCCGCGTTCCTGGAAACACTCGCCCCCCCAGTGCGGGCTTTCTCTTCTCCTTCTCCATTCCGCCCAGCTGAGCTGCTGCTCCCCGCCCCCCGCCCCAGTGGGGAGAAACTGCCGAGAAGGAGGTGGCGGAGGCGGCGGTGTGGGAAAGCACCGCGCAGACCCGACCGTGCCCGAGGCCACGGGGGTTGTGCGAGGACCCACATCCCTTTTGCTGTGACTTCCCACGAGGTGCTTTCTGCCCGAAACCTGGGGAGCCCCCGCCCCAACAATGAACTGCTCAGTGCATTCCTGCGGCTGGGCCCACACGGGCTCTGGGTCTGCGGCTTCTGCTGGGACAAACGTCGTGGTGTGGGGCCACGGTCACCGCCCAGAGCCCTCCGGTCACCAGGGCACACACCGTGGAGAGACGTGGTGGGTGAGTCGGGTCCACTCCAGTCCCCGTGGCGGGGGGCCTCCTCTGGGCCTCTCCCCTCCCAGACGGCCAGAGCAGAAGCTGCCGAGACACTGGAGGGCCGTCCCCTGGCGAGGACGGCCATGTGGGCCGGGAGCAGGACGCGGTCGCCCACCCGGCCCCACTCTCTGGGGCTCCTCCGCCTCCTGGGGGAGGACCAAGGCCTGGCAGGTGATCGGGGCGCAGGACCACCCGGTGAGGGTGCCAGGTCCTCCCGAGTCTCCCAGCCACACAGCAGGGGACTGTGGGCAGGAGGCCGTGCCTCTCAGGAGGCGGCGACCCTGCAGCTTCTTCGTAACGCCCCGGGGGCCGGGTCTGATGACGTCACTGTCCTTTGATGCACTTAGGAGACGCACCAGGCAGCCCCGGCTGGTGGAGCTCAGTGGACTGAGCGCTGGCCGGCGAGCCAAAGGGTCGCAGTTTCGATTCCCGGTCAGGGCACAGGCCTGGGCTGTGGGCCAGGTCCCCAGTAGGGAGCGTGTGAGAGGCAACCACACACGGTTGTTTCTCTCTCTCCTTCCCTTCCCCTCTCTAAAAATAGATAAATAAAATCTTAAAGACACCACACTACGTACAACGAAACCTTTGCGTACACGGGAATGTTTTCTACAGTATGTAGCAACCACCCCAAGGTTCACCTCGGCCTCTTTCCCTGCTGTTTGTAAACACAAGCGCCGACTGTTTTGTCTGCTGTCAGCAAGTTGTGCGGAAGCAAGAACCAGGCCCCTCGCTGCCCGGAGGTCGGAAGCTGACGGATCCTCCCGTCATAGCGATCGTGACGGGGCACGTTCAGCGTGTGCCGGCGAGGTGAGCACGGAGCCGCAGTGCCCGAGTGCAGGGGGCCCCCAGCGGGGCTCTTAACCAACAGGCGGCGCGAGGGTGCGCCCCACAGGGTGCCGGCCTTTCCCCCGTGGGGACCCTGCGGTGTCCTCCCGCTGGGGGGTCTCAGCCGTCTGCACGGTGACAGGCTCGCCCCCGCGCGTCAGCAGGGCCCCATTCCAGGCCCTCACACCAGGCGTGATGTGGACATCGGAGCCCGCGGGCGCCCTGTGGGACGGGGTCACGCCCTCCTCGTGGTGCGTGACTCAGACCTGGTCTGCCGGCCAAGTGATTATTGGGATCAGCTCAGCCCCGGCGCCCGGACTCGTCCCTCGGGAGCCGACGGGGAGGCCTGGTGGCCCGTGTCCTGCTCATCCTGGCCGGTGGCCGGGCCCAGGACTGGGGACTGTCTCCGAGGAGCCCCTTCAAGGGGCCGGACAGGGAGGGCCGGGGGCTTCCTGGCCGTCGCCTGAGGTTCCTCGTCAGCTGACCTGGGGTTTCACATCCTGGTCTCCCCGTCGAGGCCCCTGCGGTTGCCCAGGAGGAAAGCTGGAAAGAACACTCTCCGGAGGTAAATGTTCACTGGCAGTTTCCCAAACCGGCACTTCTCCTGTTGCTTTTGGACCTGCCCCCCTTGACCCTTCGCGACGCTTTCCTCCCAGGTCTCGTGGCGCCCTGTGTTTGGTTTGGGAGCCGGGTCTGCTTTGCGCCGGGGGCGGGGCAGGCCGGGAGCCTGTGGAGTGGCTCCCGGGAACAGGGCCTCGGGGGCTGAGGGACCCAGCAAGGGGCACCACCGCCCCTGCTGCCGCCGCTGCCGCCACAGAAAGGAATCCGGGGTCGCTGGAGCTGCGCTTCAGGTCTCCTGATGCCATTTGCTGCATTCCGGGGGTAGGGACGGAACCGGACAGGCCTGTCTGGGCGTGAGCTGTAGGCCGTGACTGCGGAGGCTTCCCAGCCCTCGCAGGACTCCCTTCTCTTTGTTGTGGGCGGCGGGACCGGCGTCTGAGACCTGGGGTGCCATCTCCCACCCTGCCCCCTCCCCCCCCCCCCCCGCCAGCTGCGGAAACCGGTCTTGGACAAACGCCACCCCCCACCCCCAGCAGGAGTGGCTGGTGTAGGCCCTGTGTGGTCTGGCAGCCCTCGGGCTGACCTAATCTAATCTAATCGAGGCATCTTTTAAAACCCGATTGTCGTGCTGACGTTGAGCCACCGTGACCTAAGGATTCCTTGCATTCCCAGAGCATGGCAGCCATCAGGTCCCCGGCTCTGGGCCGACACTCCCTTGGCCACCCAGCCGCGGGGGTCGGAGAGGGTGAGGCCCGAGAGACTTTGGTGGCCCACGGCGTCTGTTTACCCCGTGGCTCAGAGGGAGTCATAGACCCTGCATGGACCGCAGCCGGTAGCCAGGCCCCGTGCGCCCACGGGGGAAAGAGTGCCGAGGCTTCAGAGCTCCCCACGCCCTCCGAGGGCCTGGGGTCCCACCAGGAGGCGCCGCGTGTCGTGGTTCAAAGCGGGCTCTCCGAAAAGAGAAGCGGAGCAATGAACACTCGTACAAGCAAGAATCATGCTTAGAAGATGCGTTCTTCTGACAAATTGTTTTCTTCCTAAAAGGCCCTCGTCTTGCCGCCGTTGTTACAGGGAACATTATTCCGGACACTTGTTGGAGAACCCTAAGGCAGACTTTACCAGGGGGCTGCAGGCGGGGCCGGGGACCTCGCAGTGGGTGTGCGGCAGGCGCAGCGGGAACCGGGGGGACTCGCAGCGCAGGAGCGAGTGCGTGGGAGGGGTGGGCGGATAACGACCGACCGGGAGGAGGCGTCAGGGCCCAGGGCCGGCCTGCCAGACAAACTCGGCAGGATTCGGGTCTGGTCCCACCTCCGAGTGGGGGCTCACCGCGCAAGGGCAGGCCCCAGATCGGCCTGGGGCTGAGAGGGGCCGGCTGGAGTTGGGTCAGGGCCGAGTTGCAGGGAGCTTCCTGTTTGTGGTCCTCTGTGGGCTGAGCCTGAACTCGGCCCCTGCTGAGGCTGCTTCTGGATGCGCAGCCTGAGGAACACCCCCCCAAGGGAGGCCTGCTCCCTGCCCAGCGTCCCCCCCGCCCCGCACCTGAACCGGGCAGAGGAGGACTGTCACCCCCTTCTGCCGATGTCTTTTAAATGTCGGTCTTTTTCTCGGTTCAGCGAACAGTGAACGTGCGTTACTGATGGGATCACGGAAAATGCAGTGGCACAACTGCCCCGCCCCACCTCCTCTGCACGGGCTGCCTCGGTTGTCTTGGAAGCCCTCGCGGGTCTGGCTGCAGCTCAGCTTCTCCTTCCGTGGGGCAGGGAGCTGGCTTCTTACCTACAGAAGGTGGGCCCAGTGCCCCAGCGCCCGGAGGTGCCCGAGCAACCGGAAGGTGCTGGTCCCCTCTGGAGGAGGGAGGGGGTGAGAGGCCAGGGGACACCTGATGCCTGGCTGGGCAGGTGAGCAGGAGTCAGGCGTCTCTGGCCACGTGGGTGTTCATCACCCCGACGCCTTTTTACGGGGTGCTGTTTATTACTGTCCTCTCACGGTGGCAGAGGGCAGAGACGCAGCCCTGACTCTCTGCACCCGGGCCGTGGAAGTCACCGGCTCCCTGAGCGAACCAGCACTTAGCTGCTTGGCCCAGCTCAGCCCCTCGTTTGTGCGGCAGAACACAGCACCCCCCTCACCCCCACCTGCCCCCAGCACAGAGGGCGCAGTGAGGGCACCCAGGGCCGCCGCCGGCACCGGGCCTGCACACAGTGGCGGCGGCGTTCTGGGGTGTTTGGTGCCACGAAGGGGGCCTGGCCTGGGGTCTGTGGGCTCTCGACTCCGTGCGGGAAGGGTGTCACACCTCGGGCCCAGGTGACTGTGACCGTGGGGGTCCACTCATTAGAGCGGGGGTGGTGAGACGAGGAAGGGCTCGGAAAGAAGAACCGACAGGAGGGAGCCTGGGTGGGGGCTGCTTTGGCTCCCTGGAAACCGAGAGAAAGAACTGAGCCGCGCTGGCCGCCGTCAGCTCCCGGGAGAGATGGAGAAAAGAGGGCCCTGGGGACGGCCGTCTCGGTGGCCAGTCTCGTAGGGCCCTCAGGGTTTAGGAGACGTGGGCTGGTGGGGGAAGAGGGAGCGGGGAGAGGCCTGGGCACGCTCCCTGCAGGGGGGCGCTGGCTGAGGCCCCGGGGGAGGTCCCAGGGGACGTCTCAACGGGCTGCGCATCAGCTCTCCAGCTGCGTCCCTTCGGGGTCCTGGGCTCCATTGACTGGTCAGCGTCGGGGCAGAAGGTCGCTGGTCCTTGCGGCTGGTCCTGGGGACAACTGCCTGGCTCTGCTGCTCTTCGGGGCCTGGCGCTGAAACACAGCTGAGCCCTGGGCTTCACCTCTAGGGGGTAAAGGTCAGGGGAGGATCCGAACTGCATGACCAGCCATGCGAAAGGTCAGGGGCCGACACCGCGTGACCAGTGATCTGCCAGGGGAGGAGAGGTGACCCCGGGGACGGGTTCTGGCCCCTGTTTCGCCTGTTGCCAGGCATCTGGGGCTTTTACCCTGGTGACCTGCATGTGGCCGTAAATTCCTCGGCCGGTCTGTCCAGCTGTCTCAGCTTCCCCATTGCACTTGCCAAGGAATTCTCCGAACTTCGTACCATTCCGCCTCAAGTTCACGCAATACTCAGGGCAGGGCGCGACCTTCACTGGAGAAACAGCTGGTCTGCCACAGGAGTGGAAGCCCCTCCCAGCGTGCTGGCCGGACAGAGTCATTTTAGGACCCTTTATTTTCAATGGCCGTTCAGCACGGAGGCCCCTCATCCTGTCCCCTGAGACGTGGGAGAGGCGGCGGCTGTCTGCCACCACGTCCCAGCAAAGGCGAGCCGGCGTCTCAGGTGTGTCAGATGTTTGACTCAATTCACAGAACCGACGGAGGCCTCGGGGTGGCCCGGGGGTGGGTGCAGGCAGGGTGGAAGAAGATCACTTCAGTCCAAACGCTCCTCACCCGGGATCTCCCAGCTGTGTCACCAGCTGTGTGCCAGGTGCTTTTCCGAGTGCTGGGCGTGGAGGACTGGACGAGGCCAAGTCCCACCCTCTTGCAGCTCACATTCTAGTTAGAAGCAAACAAATAGCCAAAACGAAGACCTAAAACTCCACAACCCGGGGTGCTGACTGCCTGGAGGAGAGAGGAGCCTCGGGGTGAGGCTCCTGAAGCCCTGTGACTCAGGAGCAGTCCCCAGCCCCAGGCCAGCTGCACGTCTGCACCCCAACGGGAAGGCCCAGAGGTCCGAACACCCCTCCAGGTGTGGCTGTGGGGGGTCTCCAGGGGGGTCCTAGCTGGGAGGCAGAGCGAGGTCTGACTCCAAAACCAGGCTTTTTCTGCCAGGGGCTCAGGCTCCTGGCTCTCCAAGGCCGGGGAAATCAAAGCCCCGGGGCCAGGCCGCTGGGTCATCATCCCCAGCTCCGGGGGCCGGCTCGACAGGAGGGTTGATGGGAGGGGGGCACCACCTACTCCCACTCCAGAGCTTTCCTCAGGGGGTGGTGGGCAGGGCGGCTGACCTTGCAAACCTCGCGCACAGTTTATAAAGCTGGTTCACGACCTTATGTCGCAATTATTATTTTTTGTTAAGTAATGTGCACTGAATGCGAACTGCTGTCCACATCACACCATGGGATTCTCTGGGCAGTGCGCGGAGTGCGCACCGTGTCCTCCAACTCAGTGCACGTGCCCCCCCCCGCCCCCACTCAGAACTCAGGTGGGGTTCCCGCGCGGCCCCATGGTGACTGCGGCACATCGGGGACACACTGCCCCCTGGTGGCTGCAGCATATCGGGGCGCCAGCTGCGAGGAGCCGGCTGCTGCAGCACATCTGCGCGCCGGAGGAGGCCAGGGACCGGCCCGCCCGAGCCTCAGGCAGGCACCAGCCCGTGTCACCGCGTTCCCCGGGGTCCAGCTGGAGAGGGGAGGCACCCCCTCGGTTGCCCCGCTCAGTGCTTTTTCAGGGAGTTTCGTGTACTCAGCCTCGGGGGACGGCAGGCTTTCCTCCGACCGCGGAACAGAAACTGGGGTTCAAAGCTCTTGGGTCATCTGCCTGAGCTCACGGGGTCACCCGGGAAGTGAAACTCCTGCTCGAATATTCAGGCGCCTCCAGGGTTTGCGTCGCCGCCAGCGTCCAGGGTTTACCCGAGCTGCAGGCCGAGTCGCTGAGGTCCCCTTGGGGCCAGGGCAGCCCCGCGTGCAGCTGAGCCGCGGTCTTCACCGGGTCTCAGCGGGCTCCAGGGGGCTCAGCGAGATGCCACTGGGGGTCCCGGCGGGGTCGGCTCCGGCCCTGCTGGGGACCCGGACGAGGAGCAGGGGTTTGGGGGCGGAGTGCGCTCCCAGGGGGGCCCCGGATCACCCGCGCCCGTGGCTCCGCCCGCGGAGCCGCGGTCTCCCCCCGCCCGAAGCCCGTGGTTCCGCCCGCGGAGTCGCCGCTCCCCCGCACCGCGCGGATGGGCGCGCCCGGCCGCCGCGCGCAGGCCCCGCCCGCCGGTGGTGCGCATGCGCGCCCGCGTTTGCGGCCGGGTCGCGATGGCCGTGGTCGGCGAGGGACAGGCAGAGGCGGGGCCGGGGGCGGGTGACAGCTGCCTGTCGGGGACCGTGGTCGCGCGTTCGGTGTCTGTGGTGCGAGGCGCGCGCAGGTAAGGGCGAAAGGCAAGTTTGCGATGGGCCGGCCGCGGGCGCGCGGGGTGGGCAGGGCTGTGAGTGGCTCGCGCCCGGGGCCGGCCGGGCGCCGCCTCCCGCCCTACGACCCCGCGGACCCCCGCCCGCCTGAGCCGCGCGGCGGGGGCGGCGCTGTCGGCACTGCACGCGCGTGGGGCCCGGGGCCCGAGCGCCCGGGGGGTCCGGGTCTGGGGGCCGAAGCGGGGTCGAGGGGTTCCGCGGGGTTTCGGTGGGCCCGGGTTCCTGCAGGTTCGGGTCCGTAGTTCCGCGCTGGACGATCGGAGCCAGGGCTGGGGCGAGGGATCCGCGATCCCGGGGTGGGTGGGACCTGGAAAGGCCGCAGCCCGGCCGGCCGGGTGCCTCCGCGGAGAAACAGTGCTCCCTGGGGGAGGTCTCCTGCGCCGTTGCAGCTGAAACCGCAGGGTGTCGGTATGCGGGGACGCCGGGGACGCACCTGGGCATGGGCCGGCGCCGCCTCCCGGGTCATGCCCCAGGGGTCGCTGGAGCGGAGGCTGCTTGGGGCCGCCTCGTAGGGGATGCCGTCAAGGCGGCAAGTGTTCGTCAAGTGTTCGCGGACCCCTTCGCCTGAAAAAAGTTACAGTTTCCATTTAGGAGACCCTGCAGGCGCCAAGGTATAGTAGAAGTTCATAGAGCTGGGCGGGACCACAGGTTTCTACGTTTCTGTTTCTAGGCTTGCTTTTGTTTCCTGAATGTTGTTCACTGCGCATGTGTTTCTTTGGCTTGGGAAGATAGATTGTCACTTGCTGCCCGAGCCGACTCCCAGAATGCCAGAAACAGAGCTCCTAGGCCGGCCGCGAGCTCCTGTCGGGTGCGGGTGGGTCGTCGGGGAAGCGCCCAGCAGGAGGCCAGAGCAGGTGGACAGAGGGGGCAGGGGATGCTGAGATGAGGCTGCTGGGGGCCTGCGGGCCTCTCCTCCTGGGCGGAGGGCAAACAGTCGCACTTTGCGAGCCCCTGACCGCGCAGGCGCAGACCGAGATGGCTGGGCCCCCTCCCTGGTCAGTCGCGTGGTGGGTGATTTTCCCCAGCAAGCCAGGTGATCCTGGGGGTGCTGAGCAGTGCTCTAGGGGCACTTAGAGCACACGTCCCTTCTTCCTGGGTTTCACTTCATTCCCCAGTTTGGGGCCGGTTATGTTACCTAAGACGCCGGCATCCACAGCAGTTGAGGCCCTGGTGAGCTCACACGTGTGTGTCAGGGCGAGGTGGAGGGGTCCGGGGTCTGAGCCCCCCCCACCCCCCCGGAGGTGGAGGCCCGGGTCACACTGCTGCTCTGGAGCTAATGCTCTCCCTGGTTGTGGCAGCGCCGTGTGCAGGGCAGCCGGCAGCCTAAACCACCAGGCCTCACCGAAGAGGACATGTGGCCTGGAGCAGACTTTTCCCAGAGGAGATGACGGCCCGCGGAGAGCCGGGTCGGGACCTCCGCCCGCCTGCACGTCCCCCCGCTGAGGTGAAGAAGGGGCCGGGCCCTGGGCTTGAAGCCTGCCCAGGGAAGGGGCGGGATGAGCCCCTGCTGCTGGGCCTGTGGGTTCCCGGGGAGGGGACAGTGGCAGCTGCGCATCACCCTTTAGGGTGAGGAGCCTAACAGGAAGAAGCTGTTAAGTCCGGGTCTCGGGACAAGGCCCTCGAGGCGGTGACCCATGTCCCTGTGACCCGCCTGCCTGAGAGGGATGTGGTCAGGTGACCGCCCAGCGCGGGAGGAGGAACTGGGGCTCTGCCTCTCCAGGATGGCCGCGGCCTCCAGGGGCGCGGGCCAGAGACGTGGGCCCCGCAGCTCAGGGGCTGCCCCTGCGGCCCTGGCTCCCGGCCCCAGGGCTCCGGCCTCCCTGGTGGGGGCGCCCGCCAGACCCAAGGGACCCGCAGTGACAGCACCAGCTCTCCCGGAAGTGCGTGCGTGGGGCTGTGCGGGACCCAGGCAGGGAGGGGGTTTGGGCAAGGACCAGAGCGGGGTAGCGGTTACGGGCTCACAGGGGTGACAAGTGCTGAGTTTTGGAGAGAGTTTCTCCGTCTGCCCGCTCGGCCCCCACGGCCTGCCCCGAGGGTGGGCCCTTCTCCGTTGGGGCGGTGGCGGCTGGCCTGTATCTGCGTCAGCATCTGGCCCGCCCAGGCCTGCAGTGGTGGAGATAGGCCGCTATCTTCAACAAGGTGACCTGGAAGGCCGGAGGACCGGGAAGCCCCCCTTGGCTTTTTCTCAGCCACATGCCTTTGGAAGGACGAGTTTTTCCTGGGTTTCTGAGGCTCAGAGCCGGTTCTGTGAACCACCGGGAGTGCTGGCACCGTCTGCCGCCGGTCCTTCCCGGGCCTCACCGCTGTGCCCTGTCCCTCCCGCCCTGTCTGGGGCGTCTGGCCGCCGGGCACTCAATCCTGGTTCAGAAGCAAACAGGCCCAGACACAGGGTCCCTGTTCCACCCCTCCCCGCGTCCTCGGGAGCCTGGGCGGGCGGGCGGTCAGTCAGTGTTCCCCGTCACCCGTCGTGTGGGTCGGCTCTTCCGCCCCCTCCCCCAGGTGGTCCACTCGGCCGCCCCTCCCAGCCCTTGCCCGCGCCCCCCAGCGCCCCACGGCCTTGTGCTGCTGGGCGGAGAGAGGAGGCCCAGGGAGGCCTGCTCTCACGGCCCCTCCAGGGTAACCGGGGGCGTGGCTGGCGGTGCCATCGGGCTGACAGGTGAAGTTCTGGGGAAGACCCGGGGCGCTGTGGGGCAGCTAGGCTAGCCTGGGGGAGGGAGGGAGGGGCCGAACCACCCCCTCGGAGTCACAAGGTTTAAGATCCAGGGGCACCTGGAGGTCATGCCAGTGCAGCAGTTTCGTGCCCACCTGAGCGCCTGGGCACTCAGAAGGACCTGAGCCCGGCCGCCACCCCGCTCTGGGACAGTGAGGGCAGAGGCCCTGGAGGTGGCCCCGCGTGGGCTCTTCCCACAGGTGTGGGAGCGGTGGGGAGACAGCAGCAGCTCTGCAGGGAGGTGGACGCCCTGGGGCAGAGCTCCTTGCTACGCAGGCCCCCTGGAAGGGGCTTTGCGATTTGGGGCAGATAACCAAGCCTCAGCTCTCCAGGCGAACGAGAAGCAGAGCACCGCGTGTGGGTGGAGACAGAACGGCCTGGGCGAGCGTGCCGGGCACACAGCTGGCGTGTCCCGTCAGCACCGGGGTCCCGGGCCCCGCTGTGCGTGCCCGGTTTTCATTCCCGTGGGCAGACCGGGGGGCCAGCGCACGGAGAAACCTGGTTTCTTAGCTCCTGAGTGGCAGAACCAAGAGCTGGAATTCACAGGGCTGGACCGCCCTTGGTTCTCGGCCCCCCGTGCCCGGCAGCCCCTCCCGCCGCAACCGGCCGCCCTGACACAGCCCGGTGCTCGGAGCTGCCCCGGCAGGGCTGGCGTCGAGGCTTCTTCAGTCTGCTTTTCAGAGTCCCGGGACGCTCCCGTTGTTTTATTTTATTTTATTTTATGTTATCTTTTTAAAGCGTGTTTTTTGAGCCTCATTTGAGGATATTATGGATTCTGGAGAGAGGGGAAGGAGAAGAGAGGGAGAGAAACATGGATGGGCTGCCTGCGAGGACGCACCCGGCCGGCGGTCGAGCCGGCGCCGGCCTGTGTCCGGACCAGGATGGAGCCTGCAGCCTCCTGGAGTGCAGCCGGCGCTCCAGCCCCCCAGCCCCGTGCGGAGCAGGACTCTCCCGGGGTAGGCAGAGGCTCCACGGACGCTCGCTGGCTCGGCCGAGAGCTGTTGATGCAACTGGGACAAAACGGGAACTAGCCGCTCTCGTGGCCGGCTTGTGGAGGAGCACAGGAAGAGGGGTCGGAGGAGCGGCCTCTCAGCTCGGTGCGCGGTCCTGTGCGGGGCAGCCCTTCGGGGTCGCTCGCTGTCCGGCTCTCGAGGGTGAGGCGTCCTTTGCGCACGGCCCTGGGAGGCTGTCTCCCCTCCCGGGCCTGGGCGGGGCGGGGGGCACAGGCAGGGGGCCGTGTGTTCGCCTGTGAGGGGGACCTCAGGGGCAGCCGCAGGCGGACACCGCGTGTCGCACTCTGGGGGCCACAGCCCACGGCCCCAGGGGACCACGTGGGGGAGCGCAGGCGGGGGGGGCGGAGTGAGGGAGACGGGCCAGGGCCGTTCCTGGGGTTCCCCGGGAAGGCAGGGGGGCTGCTGGGACGGCCTCACCTGGAGCCGGCGGCGCCCTGGGTGTTCCGGAAGGAACCCGTGACACCCGCGTCCCCGTCTCTCAGACCTCGGGCAGCGGCCTCCTCGGGCTTCCCCCGGTGCGCGGGGTGGGCCGGCAGAGCCAGCGCGAGGGCGGTGAGGCCGCGGGCTCCGGTGTTCGCGTTGTCGGCCCCGAGGAAGGCTCCGGACTCACTCAGCTGAGCCGACTTCGTGAGTGGGCAAACGCGCCCCCGGGACTCCCTGGCCGGCGGGCGGCCACCGGGCGTGGGAGAGACTCTGAGACGGTCCGTACACTGTCCTCGGGGCCCTGGGCCGGGCCCTCGTCTGTGTGCTTAGTTTAGGGGCCGGTCTCGTGGTTAGAAGGAGCGGCAGAGACGGCCATCGAGTTACTGGGTCCGGGGAGGGGCGGGGGTCCCTGGCAAGGACGCGGCCGGGATGGGGGGAGCTGTGTGGGGACGAGGGTGGGGCTGGCGGCCGCAGGACCCACGCCCCCCCAGGCTTGCCACCCGCATCCTGGCCACCCACGTCTTGGCCCGAGGGGGCCCTGGTCCCGTTCCTCAGCAGCTCGGCCACACAGACTGGGGTGCCGGCCTGCAGGGCTCTCGCCCTGGGTTCTGGCCGCAAGGGCTCGCGTTCCGGCGTGGTGGTCCCGCGGGCTCGGGTGCCCGGGGTCGGAACCGCGTGCCTGCCCCGCTCGTGGCCACGCCACACGCTCGTGCTTTCCTGTCTTGTGCGTGGCCAGGGCGTGTCTCCCTGCCGTGTGTGCGCGTCTGTGACCGTGCGTGGGGACGGCGACCAGCCAGAGCTGTCCGTGACTGGGGTGGGCCGGGGCTGGGGCCGCAGCGCCCGACAGTGAGCCGTCCTCCCGCTCCCCTGCAGGTCGGAGGCGGATGCGTGAGGGCCCCAGAGCGCTGCGCGGGCGCCGTTCCCTCGGACGAGACGCAGCGGGGGCGCCCAGCCCCGGGTCGGCTGCGACAGAGGCTGGGAGATGATGGGCCCCGAGGGTGACCGAGGGGCGTCCGGGAGCGTCTTCGACCTGGACTACGCCTCGTGGAAGGTCCGCTCGACGCTGGCGGTGGCCGGCTTTGCCTTCTACCTGGGCGTCTTCGTCGTGTGCCACCAGCTGTCCTCCTCCCTGAACGCCACCTACCGCTCCCTGGTGGCCAAGGAGAAGGTCTTCTGGAACCTGGCGGCCACCCGGGCCGTCTTCGGGGTGCAGAGCACGGCGGCGGGCCTGTGGGCACTGCTGGGGGACCCCGTGCTGCACGCTGACAAAGTGTGGGCCCAGCAAGGCTGGTCCTGGTTCCACATCACCACAGCCACCGGCTTCTTCTTCTTTGAGAACACAGCCCTGCACCTCTCCAACGCGCGCTTCCGCACCTTCGACCCCTTCCTGGCCCTGCACCACCTCTTCGCCTTCCTGGGGTTCCTGGGGCTGCTGGTCAACCTCCAGGCCGGCCACTACCTGGCCATGGCCACCCTGCTTCTGGAGATGAGCACCCCCTTCACCTGCGTGTCCTGGATGCTCCTGAAGGTGAGTGTGCGCTGTGCCCCGGGCAGCTCCTCGCGGGCCCACGGGCGTCCGCAGATGGCCCTGGCCGGCGGCTCCCTCCATGGGAGCCTCATCCCGTGCCCCAGAGGACCGCTCTCCCCTCCCCCGTCAGGGCAAGTCCGGTGCCCAGTCAGGGCGTGTATGGGAGGCGACCTGTGGACGTTTTTCCCTCCCCCCACCCGTCTCTGAAACCAGCAACCGCACGCTTGGGTGCGGATTAGACAGATGACTGGAAGGAGGCGGCGTCCGCAGGCTGAGGGGCGGCCCCGGCACCAGGGACAGCCCCGCGGTGGGAGCCCCACCCGACTCGTGGCAGACGAGCTGTTCAGGCTTCCGGCCTCGGAACCGGAGGACACTCGGCGACCCCGGGACCCCACGACCCCACGGACAGTGTGTGTGGGCCCCAGAAGGCTCGATTTTCCCTTTCTTTGACATGCTTTTCTAACAGACCGAGGCGGCACCTCTGCCTACACACACGTCTGTGACAGGTGCCGTGTTCCGGGCTGCGTGTGAAACCTGCGGCCCGCCCTGGCGGCCACCCCGCAGCGCGCAGGGCGGCACGGGGGACGGCAGCCGCGTCCAGACCTCAGGCCCCCGCTCTGCGTGGGGCTCTGTGCCCCCCCCGCTCCAGCTGGCGGCTCACCACCACCGGCCCCCGCCCCCGCCGGGACCCGGGGAACTGCTGGGCCTGGCTGGGACCGTGGCCGCTGCAGGCGCCTGGTGAGCGCCGGCGCGCAGCCCTGCCCTCCGTGGCCGCGCTCTGCCCCAGCCCCAGCCCCGTGTCCTGAAGGTTGGCCCAGGTTGGCCGAGTCGCGGTGTCTCCCTCCTGCAGCTGGGCAGTGCTCCGTGGGGCGTGCACCCTGCACCCTCTCTGCCCCTCCCCCGTCCGTGGGGCCTGGTCGCTCTCCAGGATCCTGGCCCCAGTGGCTTTTGTAACTTGTGAGCCGTGCTTACTATGAACTGCAGTTACTTCTAGAATTGAAACACCGTCCACACGGAAAGGTAGGCTGTCACTGACGCGGGGGGACAGTCGCAGTAGAAGTGAGGGTTCACACCACGTGTCGGGGGACGGGAGACTTGCCTTCCTCCCCAGAGCTACTGACGGGACACTCAGCGTGCGGGGCAGCGCCCGGCAGAAGCCCAGTGCCCACCGCACAGCCCCGGCCCGAGCAGGCCGTGCCGCGTGGACGGCCTGCGTCCAGCTCACTGGTGTCCACCCTGGGGGACATTCCCGGTCAGCTGAATTCCATCTGGGTGTTCTTTGTGGTGGTGAGAACAATGGCCTTTTCAAGGGACTTGCTTTCCAACAATGTCTGCACTCAGACGTGAAAACCTGCTGCAAAACAACGACTTTCCCCGGCCGGGGGCTCAGCTGCCACCCTGAGCGCCGGAAGGTCGAGGTTTGAGCCCGGGGCCGGGCACAGCCCGGGCTGCATGTCCGGCCCCTGTCCGGCGCTCACGGGAGACAGCCAGACGATGCGTCTCCCCACCAGCTCCCTGTTTCTCCCTCCGCTGCTTCTCCCTCTCCCTCTGGAAGCCACGAGAGAGAGAACGTCCTGGGGTCAGGAACAGAACAGTCAACAGTGAGAAGTATCCTCAGCTGAGAGCAGAGCACGACAAACGTGTGACTTAGTAATAAATCCGGCCGAAGTGTCACACGGGGTCAACACAAGTTTGCTCCATGCCCTCGCCTCCTGACCGAAAAGGTCGGACCTGGAGCCGCGTGAGGCGCGTACCCCAAGACCGACCTTCCCTCCCCATCGTTGGACGGTGGAAACGCCGACCTGTTTCGCCCGTCACTCGAATGCGGGAGGTCTTTGGGAAGCGCCCTCTGGCCCCTGTCGGAGGGGGTTCAGCGCAGAGGACTGGCCTTCCTTTCTGTGAGCCGGAGCACGACCGGGGGCCACTCCGCTCTTCGGTGCCCGGGGGACGCGTTTGGGCACTGGGTCCTGTTGGCGTCTCAGGCCCACGTCCCCCGTCCGGTCGGGGGGACCGGCTCCTGCGTGACGCAGGCACCGCGTCCGGCCAGAGACCCAGCCCGCCCACGTCACGGCACTTCTGTGCCACACCTGAAGGACGGAAGTCCCGGTCCCGTGGCGGTGGCCGGAATTAGCTCACAGAGACCTGGGGACCGCGGGAAACATGCAGGCAAGGGCAGGAAGTGAGGTCGGCTCTCTCTGAGCCCGCCCTGAGCCCGGGGCCCGTTTCAGGGGAGCAGAAGGGGGTGCAGACCCTGACCTTCAAGTCCAGCAGAAGCGTGGTGGCCGTGCGTGGTGACGGGCGTGCCCTGGACTCGCCGTGGGGATGGTTCTCGACATGGACGCCCGTGGTGCGGCCTTCACATGGGCAGGACAGTGGCAGGCGCCCGGCAGAGACCGGACCTCAGGTCCGGACCAGCGGCGGTTCCCTGGCGAGCGCTGCGGCCTGACCCTCTGCGTGCCCCTGGGCAGCCCCATCAGCAGCGCGGACGCCCCGACTGCACGGCGCACCCTGGGTGGGACGCCGTGTCCCCGGCATGTTTAGGGCGAGCGAGGAGAGGCTGTGCCGCTCGGCAGGTGAGGCGTGCCGCCTGCATTCTCAGCTCGCGCCAGGTGTGTCGGGGAGTGTCCCCACACGTGTCGAGGAGCATCCTCCTTGTGGCTGTGACCCCTCTCCACCAGCCCTCAGGAACGCGGTGCAGACACAGCCGTGGAGGGCCGCGCTCCATCCAGAAAGAGTCCCGAGAAAGTCCCGTCGTCCCCGGCTGCCGGGCCATTGGGCCATCGGCACCGGCTGCCGGCTCCCACGTCCCCGGGGCTGGTGGCACCTCCGGGCTGGGCCCCACAGCCCCCCGGGAGCCTGCTCGCCGCTCTGGCTGCTTGCAGAACGCTGCTGTGGGCGGGGGCACCTGCACCGGGCCTCAGAGCCCCGACGCAGCGGGAACACCGCGGTATGGAGACACCGTGGTGCGGCGCCCCCTGGGTCTGGGCCTCACCGGCCAATGCCGCATGCGGGCCGGAACCCAGCGCCCTCCCGGCCGCTCTGGGGCCTGGTGGGGGCCCGTGGGCAGAGTGGCCTGCTGTCTCCCTCAGACTGGCACCTCTGCTGGGCGGGGGGACGTGCCAGGTGTGGGATGGAACGAGTGACAGCAGCAGCTGGGTGTGTTCCCACTGTTCCCACTGTCACAGTCAGCTTGCCCTCCGTCCACGCCTGTCCCCTTCAAGCAGGTGCTGTGCTGTGTGGGGGTTTGAGTCACACCTCAGTGGTGCAGGGCCCCCGGGAGGCCTGCGGTGCCCACCCACCCAGGGCTGGAGCCCAGGACAGGCCTGTTGTGTTGTTGTTTTTTTTCAGTGTGTGGTTGCCTCTCGTGCGCCCCCTACTGGGGACCTGGGCTGCAGCCCAGGTGTGTGTCCTGACTGGGAATCAAACCTGTGGCCCTTTGGTTCGCAGGCTGGTGCTCAGCCCACTGAGCCACACCAGCCGGGGTGGGCCTGTCATGTTTTATTGTGACCTGTGCCAGCCAAACTCAGCACTGGCGTCCAGGGAAAGTGCCCGGTGGTCAGGGGGGGACGTGTACCAACTTCACATAAACGTAGAGAGAGTGACTGCAAGGCAGGTTCGTTGTGGCCTGTGCTAGGGCCGCCGGGGTCCCAGCGCCGAAAAGCACAGCAGCAGGAGATGCCTCCACCCTGCGCGTCTGCCCGCAGGAGCGGGGGCCGCCAGCCCGGCCGCCTCGCCCGGGGGGCGCGCTCAGTGCCCAGGGACGGAGCGGGCGCTGAGCGGCAGGCCGGGCGGGGAGGGGGCGGGGCTGCCAGTGCCCGCGGCCGCCGCGCTGACGCCGCGCTGTGCCCTGTCGTGTCCCCGCAGGCCGGCTGGTCGGACTCGCTGCTCTGGAGGGCGAACCAGTGGCTGATGATCCACATGTTCCACTGCCGCATGGTGCTGTCCTACCACATGTGGTGGGTGTGCCTGCGGCACTGGGACGGCCTGCGCCGCAGCCTGCACCCGCCGCACCTGGCGCTCTTCCTGTGCGGGATGGGCCTGCTGACGCTCGTGCTCAACCCGTACTGGACCCACAAGAAGACGCAGCAGCTCCTGCACCCCGTGGACTGGAACTTCGCGGCGCCGCGGCCCGGGGGCGGCAGTGCGCTCCCCAGAACCAACGGCCACGGGCCCCAGAAGAAGGGGCAGTAGCCGCTCGGGCCCCCCTCCGCCCCGCGGGGCGGCGTCCTGGCGAGGGGGCCGTGTGCCCGGCAGTGGGTCCGAGGGCCTGCAGACTGACTCGCTGTCTCACTGGTGTGGGTCTCCCAGGTGCCCTGAAGGCCTTCAGGCCCTGCTGTGCCGGCGGAGCAGCGTCCCGCCGTGCTGATGCCGCTGTCTGCCCTGGCGCTCACCCACGGTGGCCTGCTGCTCGTCCGGAAGGGCCCGGCCGAGAGGCGAGCTGTCCTGCAGCCCCTGCCTGCTGCTGCGGCCTGGGACCCAGCCTGCCCTGCCGGGCCTGCGGGGTGGGCCTGGACCGGGCGGCTGCACCCAGGAATGCCACCTGCGGAAGTGGGCAAGCCAGCTGGATCCTTCCCAGCCACACCTTCAGCTGCTGCGTCCTGTCCAACAGCCTCACGGTTGGGAAGAATTGCCCTGAGGCGGAAACTGCTCCCTTGCCAGGTGGGCGGGTCCAGTGGCTCTTGTCCTGGCGGGAGGAGCTCCTGGGGAGCAGCCAGCCCAGAAGTCACCTGTCTGCCTTTGGGAACGAGGGGAGGAGACAGGAAGTCCTGTCAGACTTTTCATCAAGGAGGCGGCCACAGAACAGGAATTTCTGTTCAGATCGCATCGCTCAGCTAACACAGTGAGGAAGATACTCGCTAATCCGGAGAGTCTGCATTTCGGAGCCATTTCCGTCTGCCGGAGCTGCTGGCAGGGCCCACGCAGGCCCCGGCTCCGCAGCTGGTTTTCTCTGTGGCTCTCAGGACGCGGGGGGCTGCAGGGGGGTGGTGAGCAGTGTCCCCCCGCCAGGCTGCGGCCCTGAGCTCCTGCACCTTCAGCACCACCGCCCCCCCCTTTCCTTGGCTGCCTGGTGGCGAGCCCCGGTGGGCTTTGCACGCCCACCCAGCACCCTGACTGACAGGTGTGCAAGCACTGTCCTTGCCACGAGTGTGCAGTTAAAATCGAGAGTTTATTTTTATCAAAAGCGCCTTTGAAGTGTTTCTGGCGACACCTGTTGGTGGTGAAACAGCGGGCCTGGGCCTGTGGCCAGCAGGGGCCCCGAGATCACCGCCCCCTCGTCACCCCTTGGCTGGGCTGCGCTGATCACGTGACCCCTGCGTACCACACCTGGAGAAGCACCTGCGTCTTCCCCAGCGAAGCCGGCCGCTTCGGAGACCGCTGACCGGAGCCACCGCCCTGTGGCCTGTGCTTTCTGACCCGGGGTCCGGGGGCGGGGGATAGGCCGTCTGTCTGGGGGACAGACAGGAAACGAAGGACAATAAAGTGGCTGATGTTCACAGCACCCGAGACGATGTCCGCTCCTGCCTCTCGGGCCGCTCGCTGCTGTGAGTGTTCTCGGTCTGGACGCGGGGGCACGGTGGCCGGTCCGCGCATGCGCAGCTCAGGGCAGGTCTGATTGCACAGCTAGACCTGCATCCGACCCCACCTCTCGAGGACTGCGGCCACCCCGCCCACGTCCCAGCGAGGGTCGGGCGGCAGGACAGCAGACCCGCAGCAGGCGAGCTGACTCCGCCTTCCTGTGGCTGGGCCCCATCCTGACCGCACTGCTGTCCGGGGGGGGGGGCCCCTGCGCACCGCACTGCACACTCCCGCCTGGCCCAGGTGACCAGGCCCACTGGGCGCGGGGAGGGGCCACAGAGGACGGGAGACGCCGGCACGGCCGTGCAGCACAGACCCTGTGGCAGAGCTGGGCTCGAGGTCCCGGCTGGTGCCCTTGCTGTGCCGCCCGCTGACCTGTGCTGACCTGTGTTCTCCGGGCTCACCTGCCGAGGGGGCGGAGCCGGGCCGGCCCAGGCCCCTGGCGCAGGGACGTCCTGCTCTGTCTCACCTTCCGCGGTGGGACTGCCAGGACTGCTGGTCCTCTCACTCGGCCCTGCTTGGGTGTGCCGTGGGCTGGAGGCCACAGCTCCACCTCACTCTTGTCCCACGAGGTTCCCATCTGGCTTTCAGCCTCCTGCTTGGGCCGTGAGGGTTGGAAGAGCCTCCAGCCGCAGGTGGGCCCCAGGGCAGCACGCGGAGGGGGTGCTGGCCTGGCACCTTGGGGTCAGGAGTTAGGATGACTTTGGCCCGGCACAGACAGACCATAGCAGGGCTCCTGCTGAACCGGCCTCGAGGGCCCCTGCCGAGGGTGGATAGCAGGGCAGCAGACCTCGCCTGGGCTGCGGGGGCACGACTGGACGGCGGGTGGCCGGCGGGGACTCCGGCTGCGGTGGTGCAGCGAGGGCTTTGCTCGGTCTGAACAGTGGACGGGCAGCCCGGACCCGAGAGCCGGGGCCCGGTTGGTCGGGCGTTTCGAGGAGCCCGGTCCAAGTTCCGCCTGGGCGAGGCGGACCCTTCGGACCGGAGGGCGGCGTGTCCCCGACTCCCAGTCCTGCTCCGAGGACCCCGCAGCCGACTCCCAGGGGGCCGGTCTCGCCCCCAGAGACCTGCTGCCCGCACAGGCGGCCGCCCCCTTTGAAGGACGGGAGTTGGCTCGGCTGCCCTGGCGTGGGCTCCGTGGGCTCCCACTGACGCAGCCACAGCCCACCTGGCCCCCGGCGCCCACCGCCCTGTCTGCAAGGCGGAGCCGGGGCCTCACCTGCGGGCCAGTGAGGAGACGGCCACACTGCCCTCTGCCCCACAGGCCCCAGGGCCTCTGTCCCTCCAGGACCCCGGGGGACCCGGCCCTCCTCCTGTCTGCAGGCTGGGCTGGCCACCCCAAGGGCATCCGGCCCTCCGGACCCTTCTCCCTCCGGGGTCTGGAGGAAAGTCCAGGGACCCCGTGCTCAGGGCACTGCTGCTCTTCCCGCACGACCAGCAGGCGTTCGGGAGAGGCGGCCCCTGAAGCAGGTCCTGAGGGCAGCCCCTGGGGAGAGCGGTCCTGTCTGAGTTGTGTCCTTCTGCGTGGTCGGCTGGAGGCGGGCCCGTCTCCCCCTCACATGCCACTCCGGCTGTGTCACGGTGTGAGAGTCACCCCGCTTTCCCTGCACCGTGGGCACATATGTCTCAGCGTGACACCAGCAGCTCTGAGACCGCACTGGCAGGGAGCGGAGGGCGCACCTCCAGCAAGAACAACCCTGCGGCCTGCGGCAGGGGACTTGGGGACAAAGATGGCACTGGGTTCCCCGAGCCACAGACGGCCCCGGGGGGCACGTGGCCCCGGCAGCCGCCCTGGACCTCCGCCCTCCCCTTGCCGGCCGGGCCTGCGCCTTCTGGGGGCCCCACAGCCTCCAGCCCTCCGCGAGCACAGACAGACAGACAGACAGACAGCAGGAACAGCAGACAGGACTCAGCTCGTGTCATCCGTGCAAGACCCACTGATGAGGCGGCTGGAGAGTCACAGGTAGGTCCGACCTCAGGCAGGCCAGCCCACGGCAGGTGACCGCACTGCCCAGATGCAGCCCCTTCCATCTGCGGGGCCTCCTGCTGTGGATGGAGGCGGCAGCCTCACTCCCCCGGGTGGGCCAGCGGCCAGGCCTGGTGACCGGCTCCGTCCCCGCCACCGGCTGCCTCCTTACGGCAGGTCTGCGCCCCTTCCCGTGGCAGGAGAGGCCTGGCTGTCGCCAGACGCCCCTGTGCCCGCCCTGCGTGGGTGCCAGCACCCCCAGGAGACGACGGCCGTGGCCAGACTCCGGGCAGGCAGGGCTGGTATCCGGTGGTGCCTGGCCTCCCGCCCCTCCTCCGCTCAGCCTGGAAGGAAAACCAAGCAGCTGGGGAACTCAAACTACTTCCTGTAACTGTCGCCTGTGTCCCACGCCAGGGCCGACGGGATGCCCAGCGAGTCTGGCCTTGTGACAGGGTGCAGCCAAGAGGGGGGACCCCAAATGGGCATTTGAAATGGGGTCCAGAACTTAAGGTATCCAGGAGATTTTAAGATGTCTTCACCCCCATTCCCCAGGTGTGGGTGGGGGAAGGGACACATGGAGCAGGGCCATTGAGAGCTGTTTTGCATAGCAACAGCCTTGCAGCTAACTTCTGGCGTGGTCATTTAACATATCTATAGCCTTTGGCTGGTCGCTTAGATATGTTAAATAGCTGTGACCAGCTCTGAGCCAGGGGAATGGAAGTAACTACCCCACCAAGGTGTAACTGGGGGGCAGGTCCCCCGAGTTACAGCGCCTGCATGGGAGCTTGGAGATGATTGGCTCCATGACATGGGGCCACACCTGCCCAGACCCACGATGGCAGCCCAGGAAAGCTGGAAGGGTATGAGTTCTGGCATGTGAGGCCGAGTGTGGGAGGAGTCGGAAATGGAGCTGCAGAGGAAGATTGGCGCGGGGATTTAAACCCAAACACGGCAGCCATCGAGGGAGAGAACCATGCGTCTTTAACAGAGTGGAGACTCCCGCAGCCCTGAGAGAGAGACTCACCATGCGGCTTTGGCAGAGTGGAGACCCCCCCCTTGCAGCCATTGCGCAGGGGGAGAAGCACGCAGCTCTGGCAGAGTGGGGACTCCCGTGGCCCAGGGAGAGAGGACCACGTGCCTTTGCCAGAGTGGGGACCCCCGCAGCTTTAGAAGGGGAACCACCACCTGGTTTTAGCAGAGATCCCGGCGACTCGGCTGAGGGTGCCGGGAGCCCAGGGAGGTCTCCCAGTCGAGATGGAGGACTAACTGGGAAGAACCAGGGACTGCCTGAGCCATGGACTTCTATTTCCTTTCCTGAGATACGGTACTCTGGACTGGGCAAAGGGGGAAGGAAGGAAGGACTGTGTCTGTGGGTGTTTTAAGGGACTTTGGGATTTTTGATAAAGACATTAGGTCACTACTTTAAATTTGTAAAGCATTAAATAAACATTTCCTTTCCTTTGCACGAATCTCTGGCATTGAGAGACGTCTTTCCTAGGGCGGCGGACATAACGGACCCGGGGGCTTCTTTCAGTCATAGTGCATCGTCCCGGGCCCCCCCTCGTGTGTTCTGTAACAGCCCCAGTGGCTTTTCATGGTGGAGCGTCCGGTGCCCGTCCCAGGGGGGTGTCACGCCACGTCACGTCACGTCACGTCATGCCGAGACTCAGGAGGAGCGTGCTGGCCTCGAGGGGCTTCTGGAGCATGGTGAGTGGGCCCCGGACCATCCGCCAGAGCTCCGACCGCTCACGGCTGCTGCCCCGGCTGGAAACGGGTCCTCCCACCAAACAGCCAGCCCCTGAGGCCCGAGCAGGGCCCACGCCCAGGTCCCCCAGCCCAGCCCCATGCCGCCCACAGAAACGGCATGACACCGTGCGGCGTGGGTGAGTCCGCCTGACCGGGCACCACCAGACCACAGCCACCGCAGAGAACCGGCGTCCGGGCAGCGGAGGTGGCCTCCTGCATCCAGCACTGTTCCGGAAGGCCACCTTGTGCCCCGCGTAGGTTTCCCAACTGGGACGCCCGGCCACTGCAGCCAGGTAACGTCTGCTCCGTCCCGCGGAGGCTGGCTCCGGGCCGGCAGAGAACCCTCCCGTCACCAGGCATGCCGTCTGCTGGTGCGATGCCGCGAGGCAAACGCCCTGGGCGGCGTGCCGTGGGCGGAGCCCCGCGCGGGTCTGAGCCCTCAGGCGTACGCGTCCCTGGAACACCGAGGCTGCTCCTCCACGCGGTTCCTCTGCCTCAGTGCGGGGCCTGCTCCCTTGCTTCCCGCTCACCTAACCTCGCCTTTCTGCCCAAGGCGCCGGCCGGCCGTGACCTCCAACAGTCCCGCGACCCGTGGGCTCCGCAGGAAAGCCAGGGCCTGCTGCCTGCTGGGGCCACGCCCCTGGACCATGCCACAGCTCCCTGCCCTTCCTCCTGACACTTGCCCCCTGCTGGGCCTGAAGGACGGTCTCTGTGAGTTCTGTGGCCCCCGGGTCCCCAGGGGTGGACTCGGCTCCCCTCCGCTGGGTCAGTCTCCATTCATTGCCTCATGTCGCCCGACGGAGGGTCCTCGCGGTCCCTGGGGTGGGGGCGTGGCCTGCTGTCCTGCCTGTGGAGGGACCTGCCCAGGGCCCCTCCTGGCCCCGCCCCTGTGTCTGTCCATCACCCTCCGCTGGTTGCCTCCCCACCTGCCCACCTGCAGGCCCCAGCGCCCAGGCTGGGCTGTGGCCTCCTGCTCCTCGTGTCTTTGTTCTGCAGGTGTGTCCTCTCTGCGCCGTTTGAACGCGGCGTTTCAGGCGGTTCCAGGAAGGAGTGGGAGTGAACCGGTGTCCAGTCTCCGCATGTAACCACAGCTCCCAGAGCCTCCTGCTCCTGCCTTACTCCCTGTTGTTGACAAAGCCGACTTCTCGGCTCCAGCGTTTGACGTTTCATACACGCCCCGTCTTCCAATAACATATGACCTCTGCTCTGGC